AAAAAAAAAAAAAAAAAAAAAAGAAACAACGAACGATAAATGTCACGGAAAATATATAGAACGACTTAAACTGGAGCGTAAACAGTACCTTTTGTGAAAGGTATCGATACGCGAGAGCAAAAATAATAGCGAACCGGAAATCCCGTGAAATTCGGCCGGGCAGACCGCGCCGCACGTCTCGCAAAAACGCGTTTCGTACAGCAAACTCGGATAACATGCGGCCGACACTGTGCCGCCACCCTTCCGTCGACGTTCGTTCGTTGGAAAATTCGTTGTCGCGCGCAAAACCACCGCGCCTGATCCGTAAAAAAAAAAAGAGGGGAAAAAAATAACAACAACGCGGTGTCGAGGGAAAACGGATCGTGAGCTCGATGAATCGCTCGGCGAATGTGTTCTGTTTTCGCTCGATGTCGTACGTTCGTTCTTTTTCACTGAATATTTATCGAAACGAGCCGTCAAAACATAGGGACTTTAGCATGTAAACGGTTTATTTTCAGATTCAAGACGAAACTTTCAGATTTATAATTCCATTGTTTAATACCTTGTAGTTTCTTTCATTTAATGATCAATTCTTTCTCACGGATTATTCATCCAATTTGATATTTACTTTGAAAAAGACACAGTTTTTGAATTCGACATTTTATTTAAACTTCGTTGCCGAATTTAGTTTGTCAATAATAAATTGGACGTGTAAAGATCGCCGGTCGGACTCGTTATATCAATCCAAAAGATTGAGAAACATCCTCTTTTGTGTCTTCGTTATTATAGGATGGGAATGTTGATGGATGTGGGGTTATATATAAGAAATGTGTGCGGTGAATGTGACTGCTTTCCTTGAGACGCGTTGATTTTTCTGTATCTGTCTCTATGTATAGTTAGAAAGCATAGAAGGAGCATGGAGCTCCATCTGTCGACGCCACTGACTTAGGAAGATTGAAGAAGTCTTTGCCTCTTTCCAAGATGACTTGTTCCTGACTATTGTCACGCGTGTCCATAAGAAATAAGCTACAACATTTCTGTTATATTAAACTACGCTGCTTGAAAACGAAGTAATTAACTAAGAAGAAAAACGAGAAAATCTTTTATGTAGAGAACAGACACGTGTTGTATTATTATTATTATTTATTAAGGAACTTAATTAAAAATATCAATATTGTTAACCTTCAAAGAACGTCGGTTTATATTTACGTGATTGTTAAGATGTTCTTTTATTACCACGCTTTTCATAGATATTATTTAATTTAATTACTCATGTTTACATTTTTACGACATCTTTAACAACTTTGAAAAGAACAACTTCAATGTAATTCTCAGGAAATTACAATCCCGTACAATTGTCTTCAGGAGTGATTCTCCCCTTTCATAAACCGCACTTGTTCCCCGCTATATTATACAATCATTTCAATAAAAACAATCGAGTTTCGTACGAGAGCTACAGTTCCTCGATCTTGGAAAATTAAAACTGTTGCAACTGTTGCATACTTGATCGTTTACATAGAAATTATGAAATTTGTTAAAAGTTATGTAGGATTTAATATCAAGTAGAAATTTATCTACGAAACGATACTCACAATCTGTAGTGCTCATCAGGCTGCCAGTACTCAAAGTTCTCGAAAAAATGGGCAAACGAGCCCGTCATCCCCCCCGGCTAGTCCCGCCCCTTGTACTCCCAGGGTAACAAAGATCTCGGTATTCATCAACCCCGAGGAAGCCTCTTTTAAAAACTCTAAAGCACCCGAGCAAGTTGGCCCAATCATCCGACCTCGATCATTCCCGAAACGATCTGTGGCTTTCCGTCGCGCGAGATCCTCGACTCGTCTAGGTGGCGAGATCGTCATCGCGGTTTAATTAAATCGAAAATCCGATAGTCATTAATGCCAAGTGGCGCCCGATCCTGATGACTGGGTGGTTTCTATTGATCCGCAGGTGGGACCGCGTCGAGGCGAGGGTCCGCTCGTCATGGGGCCTGATATGCCACGATATACCGGCAAACGACGATCATGGCCGGCGTCGTCCCATGACGCAACCAAGCCGCCTTCTCAATGTTATCGGGCTTAACAAAAAGGACAAGCGTAATGGATCTTCCCATCGTGCAATAAACGATTATCTCGTGTTTCGGTGCTGAACGAACTCTCTCTGAGAACGGACGAGAGCGAGGTGGTAAATTGAGGTGCATTGAATTACCTTATCGCGTCATAAATTTCTATTCTACGGTGGTTAAGTTTTCATCTTCTTCGCAGGAAAACTGGTTCGATGAACTGGTTTTCTCGTAATAAATGAATAATAGGGTAGCGACTTAGGGGTAGCTCGATCATTGTGGTTGACCGGAGGATTGATTTATGGAGTTTGGTTACTGCAAGGTAAATAATATAAGTAGGTGTAGTTGCTCTTTTCTATAGAGGCAATTGTTGGAATGATGAATGAAGTGATAACTTTTATTTACAACTCTGTAACATGTATACAATGAAGAGATTAGTACAAAATTCTGCGCAAATAATATCTACCGTTTATAATACATTTGGGATATTAAAAAATGGTAGTATAGGAAATAAACTCGATATCTTAAAATGTATCAGAGAAATTCGTGTCTTTCAAAACGTCACGGTTTATGATACGCCCTTCCCAAAACACCACTTTTATTCTCATTTGCCGTACTTTCGTATCATTTGCAAGCAACCAAATTCAGATGCTATCTGAACCGGCAACATCTGCCGTAATTTGAAGAATCAAAGGAGGCGCTGAAATCGGAGTTTTAATCTCACGAGACAACCATGTGTTCCTCGCGTGAAACCTAACTACTCCTCCATTAAAAATGTAACAATCGAATAATCTTCGAGTTTGTTCTTTCATCATCGGAAACATCACGTGTCAACCTTTGGTATATCATTCGATTAACATCCACCAGCCTATAAATCGTAAATCGTTCGAGTA